AGATGCCAAAATTGCTATAAAATTCAAGGATATTCTTCCGAAACTGATGAAGCTTTGCAAGATCTTAATTATAATTGACGGCCTTGATGAAGACAATGAAAGTTCTAGAAGACTTGTCCAGAGTCTATTGCAAGAATTTAAGTACTGTTCTAATATTGCTTTTCTGTGCACTTCACGACCAGAAAAAGTTGAGAACTTTAGGAGAACAATCCCTGCAGAGTACACTGTGCAACATGCAACACTACATGGTATATCTAGGACAAATGTGGAACAATTTGTGCGTCTGAACCACCAGGAGATAACCAAACAAACAGGGAATAACAGAAATACTGATGAACTGGTAAGGAGAGTGATGAAGTCAGAAGGACTTCAAGAACACTTAAGACTACCAATGAACTTGATTCTTATGATATACATCTGGGACGACGACCCTGACCAGCTAAACTTAACATCTGTCACTCACACGCAGCTATATTATAATATTCATCAACTGTGTAAACACAAGTTAAAACACAGACTGACCAACCATCAAGATACAAAGGATATAGATGACAGGAAATTAAAGGTTAACATTGACAATGTTTTGATAACAATATACAAGACAGCGCTAGAAAGTCTTTCACGTGATCAGATAAACCTTGAGGAAGAAACTGTAGATAAACTGATATCTACCTGTGATAATTGGAGTTTACCTTATAAAGAAGTGTTGTCAGCGTTCCTTTGTTTAAGACCAACATGGACGATGCTGGGGATCCAGGAGCAGTACTCAGCTCCTCACAAGGGTATACAAGACTACTTCGCTGCTCTCTATATTGTCAACAAGCTTAAGCAACAGTATTCTACACCTACACCTGCCTCAGCTACACCTGCCTCAGCTACACCTGCCTCAGCTACACCTGCCTCAGCTACACCTGCCTCAGCTACACCTGCCTCAGCTACACCTGCCTCAGCTACACCTGCCTCAGCTACACCTGTCTCAGCTACACCTGCCTCAACTACATCAGCCTCAGCTACACCTGACACACCAGTCAGTATTAAGAGAGTGTTAGAAGTCAGCATCAGGTCAGGTGAGGTAGACATAAACAAGTACCAGAATGTTGTGATACATGTGGCTGGGCTGCTGCACCTGGTACTAGACCAGGTACCTGAGACAGCTGCACGGGAAGTGGTTCATCTCCTACAAGAGTCTGGTATGAGAGACAACGACCAGTGGCTCCACCTCCTTGACAACACTAACATGTCTCCAGTAATTGTCAAAGAAATATCGCACTTATTTAACACTAAAGAAACAATTGAGGTACGTGATGGACGTGTGAGAAGCTACGCTGCTCTCCTGCCTCACCTCAGCTCCTGCGAGGTGGTGATTGATATTAATGATGACCCAGGTGACCTGCCTGACCTGCCTGACCTGCCTGACCTGCCTGACCTGCTGGCTGCCCTCACCCACCACCACTGTACAAGACTGGAACTGTCCCACCACTACTATCATGCTGACACAACCACCACTGATGACAACCTCCTCGAACTTCTACCACACCGGTAAGTTGTTATTATTGTTAATAATGTTAATGTTCATGATAACATTATCTTAACATTATTATTAATGTTAACAACGCTACTATACATATATGATAAAATGATCTTTATCTTAACATTATTCTAAATGTTAATAATGTTGCTGTATATTATAACATTAAAGTTATTTTAACATTATGGGTGTTAACATTGTTGTTTCTGGTGTTAACACTGTTGATGGTATTAACACATTCTTGGCGTTAACATTGTTGCAGATGTTAATATTGTTACGGATGTTAATATTGTTCAAATGTTAATATTGTTGGTTTTAAAATTGACGTTGGTTTTAAAATTGTTGCTGATGTTAACATTGTTAATGTTGTTAACATCGTTGTTTGAGTTAACATTCTAGTGGTTGTTAACATTCTTGTGGTTGTTAACATCGTTGTTGTGTTAGCATAGCTGTTGGTGTAGCAAAGTTGTTGGTGTGCCCCGGCCTCTTCATGAATCGCTACTAGGTCACTCTCCCTGAACTGTGAGCTTTATCATACCTTGCTTAAAATCTATGTTATGGCTTGCCTCCACTACATCGCTTCCCAAAAACTATTCCACTTCCTGACTACTTGTGGCTGAAGAAAACTTCCTATCATCCTGTGATTCATTCTGTGTCTTCAACTTATAACTGTGTCCCCTTGTTTGTGTGTCCCCCTCCATCTCTTGCTCATCCTTTCTGTTGTCCACCGTGTCATTAATCTCAGTATTTTGTATGTCGCTATCATGTCTCCCTATCTCTCTGTCCTCCGTGTTCGTCAGGTTGATTTCCTTTAACCTCTCCTGTAGACATACCTCTTAGCTCTCTGGACGGGTCTTGTTGTAAACCTTCGCATTCTCTTGTTTTCTTTACGTGCTTGGCTAGGAAATGGGTTCCAAACTGGGCGCCGCATTTACCCAATTGGGCCTAACGTACACTGTTTGTACAGTGTCCTGAACGATTCCTTATTAAGATGTCGGCATGCTGTCTGAGGTTCACCCAGGGCGACCATGTGGTCTTACTGTGTGTGATGATGCTAGTTGTGTACTGTGTTCACTGTGTGTGATGATGCTAGTTGTGTACTGTGTCTTACTGTGTGTGTTGGTGCCAGCTTGTGTTACTGTGTCTTACTGTGTGTCATGGATGCTGTTGAGTACGGTTGTCTTTACTGTGTGTGATGATGTAGTAGTGTACTGTGTCTCACTGTGTATGATCGTGCTAGTTTTGTACTGTGTCTACTGTCGTGTGATGATGCAAGTTGTGTATGTGTCTTTACTGTGTGTGTGATGGTTGCTAGTTGTGTACTGTGTCTTACTGTGTGTGATGATGCCTAGTGTGTACTGTGTCTTTTCTGCTGTGTGATGATGATAGTTGTGTATGTTTCTCATGTGTGTGATGATGTAGTTGTGTACTGTGTCTTACTGTGTGTGATGATGCTAGTTGTGTACTGTGTCTACGGTGTGTGATGATACTATTTTGTCTACTGTTCCCCCCCACCCCCCCCTTCTTCTGTGTGTTGGTGAACTAGTTGCGTACTGTGTTCTTACTGTATGTGTGATGGGGCTAGTTGTGTACTGTGTCTTACTGTGTTGTGATGGTGTGTTGTGAACTGTGTCTCCTGTGTGTGATGATGCTAGTTGTGTACTGTGTCTTACTGTGTGTGTGATGCTAGTTGTGATTACTGTATCTTACTGTGGTGTGATGATGCTCGTTGTCTACTGTGTTTTTTATGTGTGTGAAATGCAAGTTGTTTGTACTGTGTGTTTCTCTGTGTGATGATTTCTGTTGTGTACTGTGCCTTACTGTGTGTGATGGTGCTAGTGTGTTACTGTTGTCTTACTGTGTGTTGTGCTGATGCTAGTTGTGTACCTCTTCTTACTGTTGTGATGATGCTTGTTGTGTCAGTGTTTTACTAGTGTGTAATGATGCTAGGTAGTGTATGTGTCTTACTGTGTGTGATTGATGCTAGTTGTGTACTGTGTCTTACTGTGGTTGTGATGATGCTAGTGTGTACTTGTGTCTTACTCTCTGTGTTGATGCTTGTTTTGTACTGTGTCTTACTGTTGTGTTGATTGCGAGTTGTGTACTGTGTCTTACTGTGTGTGATGATGCTAGTTGTGTACTGTGTCTTACGGTGTGTGATGATGCTATTTGTCTACTGTGTCTTACTGTGTGTGGTGGTGCGGTTGCGTACTGTGTCTACTGTGTGTGTGGTGTAGTGGAGTACTGTGTCCTTACTGTGTGTGATGGTTTGCTAGTTGGTACTGTGTCTTACGTGTGGGTGATGATGCAAGTTGGTGTACTGTGGTTTCTCTGTGTGATGATTCTAGTTGTGTACTGTGTTTACTGCACTTGTTTGAGGGTGCTTGTTGTGTTACTGTGTTCTTACTGTGTCTGTGATGCTGTTGATTGTACTCTGTTTATGTTTGTGATGATGTAGTTGTGTACTGTGTCTTACTCTGTGTAATGATGTAGGTGTGTACTGTGTCTTACTGTGTGTGATGATGCTAGGTGGTGTTACTGTGTCTTTACTGTGTGTGATGATGCTAGTTGTGTACTGTGTTTACTCTGTGTGATGATGCTAGTTTTTTACTGTGTCTTACTGTTGTGTGATGGATGAGAGTTGTGTACTTGCTGTCTTACTGTGTGTGATGATGTAGTTGTGTACTGTGTCTTACGGGTGTGTGAAGATGCTATTTGTCTACTGTGTCTTACTGTGTGTCGTGGTGCGAGTTGCGTACGGTGTCTTACTGTTGAGTGATGGTGCTAGTGAGTACTGTGTCTACTCTGAGTGATGATGCTAGTTGTGTACTGTGTCTTACTGTGTGTGATGATGTGTTGTGTACTGTGTCTTGCTGTGTGCGATGATGACTAGTTGTTTACCTGTGTCTTACTGTGTGTGATGATGCTAGTGGTGTACTGTGTCTTACTGTGTGCAATGATGCTTGTTGTGTACTGAGAGTCTTACTGGTGTGATGATGCTAGCTGTGTACTGTGTCTTACTGTGTGTGATGATCCTGCTGGTTCTGGTTTCTTATATGTGTGGATGTCGTTGTGTACTGTCTTACTGTGTGTTGATGATGCTAATTGTGTACTGTGTTTATTGGTGTGTGATGATGCTAGTTGAGTACTGTGTCTTACTGTGTGTGATGATGCTTGTTGTCTACTGAGTCTTTCTGTGTGTGTGATGCTAGTTGTGCACTGTGTCTTACTGTGTGTGATGATGCTAGTTGTGTACTGTGTCTTACTCGTGTGTGTTGATGTTAGTTGTGCACTGTGTTCTTACTGTTTGTGATGGTGGCCCCCCGGGGGGGGTGCTAGTTGTGTACTGTGTCTCACTGTGTGTGTTGATGCTAGTTGGGTACTGTGTCTTATCTGTGTGTGATGATTCTAGTTGTGTACTGTGTTTTTACTGTGTGTGTTGGTGCTAGTTGTTGTAATGTAATCACTTAGTTCTACCGATGTTGAGGTTGCTGGGGTCGAGTCCGAGCTCCTGGCCCCGGACCTCTTCACTGATCGCTACTGTGTCACTCTCCTGGAGCGTGAGCTTAATCAACCTTGCCTTAAGATATGTATGGATCTGTCTCCTCTACATCGCTTCCCAACTATTCCACTTACTGACTACTATGGTGGCTGAAGTAAAACTTCCTACTTCCCTGTGATTTCATATATGTTCTTTCAGCTTACAACTGTGGTCCCCTTGTTTTCTGTGTCCAATCTCTGGAACATCCTGTCTTTGTCACCTTTGTCAAATTCCTCTCAGTATTTTGTATGTCGTTATCATGTTGGAGTGGTTGGTGCAAATTGTTTAATAAATGTATGGAAGAGGGTATACGGTACCTAGGGATTGGCAGAGAGCATGCATAGTTCCTTTGTTTAAAGGCAAGGGGGAATAAAAGGAGTGCAAAATTATTGGGGGATAAGTCTGTTGAGTGTACCTGGAAATGTGTATGGTAGAGTTATATTGAAAGAATTATGTGAAGACGGGAGAATAGCGTTAGAGATGAAACAAGGAGGCTTAGGAAGGGTTCGGGGCGTGTGTGGACCCAAGGGTTTACAGTGAAACATATAAGTAACGATTTTAGATAAGCTAAAGAGGTCTTTGTGGGCATTTATGATTTGGAAAAAGGGTATGACAGAGGGGTGGATAGGGGGGGGGGGCAATGTGGCCAGATGTTGCAAGTGTATGGTGTAGGAGGTGGTTACTGAAAAAGCAGTTGAAGAGTTTTTACGAGGATAGTGAGGCTCATGTTAGAGTATGTTGGAACGAGGGAAATTTTTTCCCAGTAAAAGTTAGGCCTTAGACAAGATTGTGTGATGTCTCCGTGGTTGATAATATTATATTTATAGATGGGGTGTAAGAGAAGTAAATGCGAGGGTCTGGGCAAAGAGGCGTGGAGGTTAAAAGATAAGAATCACACACAAAGGGGAGTGTCCACAGCTGCTCTTTGCTGGATGACACTGTGTCTTGGGAGATTTGAAGTGAAGTTGCTGCGAGATTGGTGGATGGAATTTGGTAGGGTGTGCAAAAAGAAGAAAATAATGGTGAAACAGGAAAGAGTAAGGTTATGAGGATACAAAAAGATTAGGTGTGAAAGATTGATAATCTGATTGGAGGAGAGAGTATGGTGGAGTGTGAACGTATTCAGAGAATTGGGAAGTGGCGTGTCAGCGGATGGGTCTATTTGAAGATGAGGTGAAATCATAGAATTGATCAGGGAAAAAAAGAGTGAGTGGTGCCTTAGGAGTCTGTGGAAGACAATGAACTTTGTCCTTGGAGGCAACGAGGGGAATGTTGAGAGTATAGTTTTACCCAACGCCTCTTATATGGGTGTGAAGCGTGGAGTGATGAATGTTGCTTTGCAGCGAGGAGAAGGCTGGAGGCAGTGGAGATGTCATGTCTGAGGGCAATGGTTTTGGTGTGATATAATGCAGAGAATTGTATTTTGGAAGTAGGAGGAGGTGCGGGATTACCTCAAAAATGTTGTCCAGA